GCAAGTTAAAGACTTAAGATTACTTTAAAATGTTCTTCAAGTCTTTGGATACAAAGTATTTTTCTGTGTTTCTAAGTGTCACTAATCTCTACAGTGGCTTTCCCGTGGTTCATCAAAGATTTGGAAAGACAAAGGTTTTCCTGCTCGACCTGAGTTCTGTTATTATCCATTTCAATGAAATAAGTAAAGTAGAGAGACCTCTAAGTTAAATAAAGTGCAGGCCAAGGGCGATTCTAGACATCATAAAATCTGGTGAAGATTTTCGAATTGCGACAACCACAAAGATGCGTGAGTAAGAGATGTCAACATGGGCTGCGGCCCGTGGACTAGGCCCAAGTAAGACCGCAACGGGGCGGGGTTGGACACAACATTTAGAACCCGTAACCCATGATGGGCCAACCCGTATGGGTTGAGAATTTTTTTGGTCCGTAACGGGTTGGCCCATTTGAACGCGGGCTGGCCCATTTGGCCCGTATAAATATTTAGTTTTGACTAAATGACTTTAAATTTAGTGTTTTTATGTGTTCTTCTTGTTAATTATTTGAGTTTTTGTTACAATTTTTTTTAATTTTAATCATGAATACATGTTTGGTTTCAATCTATATTTATTTAAAATATGAATAAAGCAAGTTAGTCAAACGGAAAAATCCATTAATACAACATTTCTATCGACCAATATGTTTATCTTTATATTATAAATACAAAACATATAACTTATATCACTAACCAAATTTAAACAACAAATTCTTTTCCATTTATCAATCGCAAACAGAAAAAAATATATTACATATGTTATATTAATTATACAACGTATATAATAGATGTGAATCTGAGCCAAAGTGAAACATAAAAGTTTACGTACATACTAAGCCAAAAACACATATATAATACAAATTGATATGGTACTATGACAAATCATTAAAAATCATTTTTGGTTTGTTTTAATTGTTTGTTGCCTTCTTGGATATTAGTTTAAACTTTTATTTTGAATTTCAAGCAGAGATTTAGGTGTTTGAGTTTTACTTTTGAGTTAAAGACTATGACTAAGTTTGGATTTTTAAATTTGATATTTTGATGTGCTATTGATGTTTCTAATTTGATTTGGATTGAAAAAAGACCTTGGACGAGAGTTTCTTTTTGATTCACATAAGCTTTGTATACTAAATATTTGAAGTAGTTAAAACCCGTTTCTTTAGTCTTGATTAATGTATTCGTGTTTGACATGTGTACACAACAAAGCCTTAGACGAGAGCTTACTTCTAATACATATTAGTTTTGTTTCATTCATGTCTTGTGTTTCAATGTTCCACTTTTTTTTGTATGTTGTAACAAGACTATCATAACCCGCGATATGGTCCATTAGTCCGTTTGCCCAAGTAATA